CCACCTTAGCCTCCTGAGTGGCTGGGACTACAGGCACATGCCACCATGCTCGTAAGGTGGTATGGCATTGTGGTTTTGGTTTGCATTTCCCTGATAATGAGTGATATTGAGCATTTTTTATATGTTTGTTGGCCATTTGTTTATCTTCTTTGGAGAACTGTCTTTTCATGTCCTTAGCCCACTTTTTGATGGGATTACTATTTTTCTTGCTGATTGGTTTGAGTTCCTTGTAGCTTCTGGATGTTAGCCCTTTGTCAGATGCACAGTTTGTGAAGATTTTCTCCCGCTCTGTGGGTTTTCTGTTTATTCTGCTGATTATTTCTTTTGCTGTGCAGAAGCTTTGCTGAAAATTTTTATTATGAATGTGTGTTGAATTTTCCGATGCTCTTGACATGATTATCTATTTGTTTTCTGTTCTGTTTGTGGGGTAAATTACATTGATTAATTTTTCAATGTGTAGGCCAATCTTGCACTCCTGATAAAAACCTAACTTGGTCCTAATAGCCGGTCTGATTTGAAGAGTGAGTGTTTTGTTTGTTTTGCGCCTGTGCTCATGAGAGATATGGGTCTGTGGTTTCCTTGTGACATCTTCATTAGGGTTTGTTATCAAAGATATGCTAGCCTCATAAAAACAGTTAAAAAGTGTTTTCTCTTTTTCAGAAAAATTCAGTAAAATGATGACCAGGATTTTTATTTATGGGAAGGTTTTTAATTAATGTTTGGTTTCTTAAATATTCTTTTGATTTTTCATTTCTTCTCGTATTTGTTTTGAAAAGTTTTGTTTTTCTTGGAATTTATCTTTCATTTACGTTTTAACATGCTCTGACATGAAGTTGATTAGTTTTTTAGAGAACCCGTCTTTCACTGTGTTGATTTTCTCTCTTGAATGTTAATTTCTGTAGTGATATCTTCCTTGATGCATGAGTTATTTAGAAGTGTATTTATTAAGATTCGAATGTTGGGATACCCTGGATGTGTTTGTTACTGATTTCTAGTTTAATTCTACTATGGTCGGTTAACAGACTCTTTTTCAGTGTTTCTCAAACTCTTTGTATTGGAGGACTTGTTTTTTTCCTCTCAATCTCAAGTGAACTGACAGCTTTTGTAAAATACAATGAAAATGAAATTACTAGAAAATTATAAGATCCACGTTTTACAGGGATACAATATTATACAGCTATATTTTCTAAACACTTATTCTCAATTTCCAAATGTGTCTATGGTCTCACAGTAGTTGTAAATCAACATTAGTCCATGGAACCCACTTTTATCTTAATCTTTGAAGTGTGTTGAGATTTGCTTTATAGCCTAGCACTTGGTCAGTTACAGTAAATGTTCTGTGTGCAGTTTAAAAGAAGATACATCCTGCACTTGTAGGGTGGGATGTTTTATGTGTCAGTTAAATCAAGTTTGTTCATGTTATTTAACTTCAGCGTTCCTACTCTCATCTTGTCTGCTTGTTTTATGCATTATTGAGAAGAGGCATCACTCACTAAGATTGTGGATTTGTGGGTTTTTTCTTTTTGTTTTCTCCTTTTTTTGTGTGCATATTTTGAGGCTATCTTATTAGGTATATTCAAACTTAAATTGCTTTCTCTTAGCAGTAGACTGACCCTTGTAACACTGTGAATTTGCCCACTTTATTTTTGGATTTTGCCTTAAAATGTACTTCATCTCATATTTAGCATAGCAACGTCAGCGTTATTTTTGATAGTGTATGTATTTTTCTGTTTCTTAAAAGTGTAGTCTCCTAAAACAATATATAGTCTGCTGGACTTTTATTAATCAACTTTATTGAGATATAATTTATATAGAATAACCCATTTAAATGTGCAATTTGATGAGTTCTGGCAAATGTATCTTTGATGAGTTCTGTGCAATTTGATGTGCAATTTGATGAGTTCTGGCAAATGTATCTGTGCCTGTAGCCACTAACAATCCAGACGTAGACCATTTCCATAAGCTCCAAAGGTTCCTTGTTCCTCCCCATTGCCAGTCTCCCTGCCGTCCCCCGCCACAGCTTGGGCTGTCACCATTCTTCCTTTTGCCATAGACTACAGATTAGACATGTCATTTCTAGAGTTTCATATAGAGAGAATAGTATTATATACTCCTTTGTGTCTGGCTTCTTTAAAGGAAAAAAGCAGTGCAGAGTGTTGGGCTCATCATAGTGCATTTCCTTTATCTCAGGATTTTGGCCCCCGAGACCTGACTGACTTGGTAGCCCTCCAGTGCTTTTATACTGATGTGTTTATATTTTATTTAGCTCTTCTAGTTGGGTGTCAGTGGAAGGGCTGGTCTTAAACATGACGGTTCACAGTAGCCAGAAGCAGAACAGCTCTGGCAATGTTTAGTGGTGGAAACACAAAGATACAGAAATACCAAGGGCGAAGGTTGAGCATTCTAATTAAATGGAACCCAGCGAATTCCCCCAGAAAATTCAGAGGGGTTGAAAAATGTTATTTTCTTTTTCTTTCTTCATTTTTTTGGAGATAGGGCCTCACTGTTTCACCCAGGCTGGATGCCGTGGCGCAATCAGGGTTCACTGCAGCCCCAGCCTCTCCAGTAATTCAGACTACAGGTGTGCACCACCACACCCAACTAATTTTTTAATTTTTTATAGAGACAGAGTCTTACTATATTGCCCAGGCTGGTCTCAAACTCCTGGGCTCAAGCGATCCTCTCACCTCCACCTCCCAAAGTGCTAGGACTACAGGCATGAGCCACTGTGTCCAGCCAAGAGCATTTTGTTTTCGTTAGATCTAGGATACGCTGTCAGTCAGGATTCAGTGCCAGCACCTAGGTATTTTAACCAGCAGAGCATTTAGTATAGGTTACACGTTGTTGGAAGATCTGAAGGAGCAAGTTCTACACTTGGCCTACAAGAATGACTCCTAATTTAGAGCTACTCTTTCAGGGAAGCTGCTGCCTCACAGACTGCCACTAAAACTGTGCGAGAAGCACAGTTGATGCCACCAGTATACCACCCTCTTGCTTACTAGTAGTCATGATAAAGAGGAGCAGCAAGAAAGCCTTTCCCTCATTTTGGCCTTCCAAGTCTCGTAAGAATGGCTCTGATTAGTGGAACCTAATGTGAACCAAACACTACTTGAAGGGAATATAGGAATTGTTTTGGACTGAGGAACTTCCCCAAGTATTCAGAGGTAGAATGGGCATCACAAGAACCAGTCCCAAACTTCTACCATGTACATAAATTAAAAGCCCGTAACTCAGAGTGAGTGGTAGAGAATTCAACATTATTCTGAATAAACTGTCATTTTTTCCCTCTAACATTGCTGTGTCCTAGTATAATATTTAATAAGACTTTCCATCATCTGTGGCTTTGATTTTTTTTTTCCCAACTGCTGAGTGAGCATATTACAGCCTGTGATTTAAATATCCAGAATGCGTATCAATCAATTAAAGGTTATATTTAAGTTCAATTCATATTTTAATATTTGCCGAGGATATTCAAGACATTGAGGACATCACCCTGATAACTCTAAGAATTTAAGCAGCTCACCACATAGGCACTGCCTAATTCCTGATAGCTAGATCATCTTCAAACGTAATCATGAAATCAATGTATTTCATAACCAAGTACTTTAAACTTTTATCAGCTTTCTTTGTAACTCTTACTATAGAATATTCAAGGGCATGCTATGATATATTCCATAAGTGTTTATAGCAATTCAGATCTTGATATGAAAATGTCAGTGGTATCCTCAAGGGCGAAGAGCTAAATACAGCTTTCTCCAGCATTCGTCTTTCTACCACAACACCGTGTTTGTTGATCTGTTTGCTTTCTTTTCACTTCATGAGTTGGGTGGTGCGATACCAATAAAAGGCCTGAAAAAGGTCAGGACAGTTTACACCAGTACTAGCTAGAGTGGTTTGCTGTAAGCTAGTGAGACCTTAGGATGTTTTCAGCAGCTATAGATGGTTGGTGCCTAAGGGGAGAATACAAAATGAAACAGACAAAGAGACTGGTGAGCTGTGACGTGATTGTTAGTCTGGGCGTTAAGCAATGACGGTATTGAGGACTAGAAATTAGAAGGCATATGGTTTAGCTTTCATGTGACAGTTTGGGGCTAGTATTTTTGTTTGTCAAATAGTTTCTGTTTGTGATTTACAGTGATTGTGCATTTGAAATTCACCTCAGTTTTCCTTTTGCTGTTTACATATATTAGAAGTAATTCATTGCAGAGAACTCCAAAAAAGAACTGACTTAATTTTATTTGGGGGACTGTAAATCCAAAACTACACAGAATCATTTCAAAGAACAAAAAGAATTTCTTTTGACATTATTTTTATATCTCGTTTATTAATATGAGATTATTTGTATTAAGAAGGTTTTTAGCACTGGGTAGTACATAGTTGCCTTTTTTCTTCTTTTTTTGAGATGAGTTTTGCTCTGTTACCTGGCTGGAGTGCAGTGGTGTGATCTCGGCTCATTGCAACCTCAGCCTCCCAGGTCCAAGCAATTCCCCTGTCTCAGCCTCCCATAGTTGCCTTTTTAAACATGCATTTTATTTTTGTGACATCATAAGTCTTGATTAGGACTTTAAAAGACCCCTTGAATTGATTTACCTTCTTCAAAAAAGATACCTCTCTTCACAGATGAATATGTCTTTAAAAAAAAAAAAGAGTCATGGAAAAGCCTGTAACTTTATTTACCTAAATTCACTTAATTTTAGAACATTCTCTGGTCAAATGAATGAAGAATGTCTGACCAGTGAAATATTTGATTGGTTTTCAAGTTATTTCTGATCATACCTTTCTTCCATCATTTTTCTCAGAGGTTTTTTTGATTGTTGAATCGTTGTAGGACTTCACTAATCAAGTTTAATTTATACAGTTTTGATTTCTAGTTAGCTTATAAAATAATTCATGAGACAATTAATGTGTGAGACAGTATCAGAGAAGAGTATTTTTATATTTAGGGGACTTTAAAGTATGTCAATAATGAAGTGTATTTTAATTCATTTTTCTTTTTTCAGATGGATCTCCTTACTTAGCAATCAAAATAAATGAAGCAAAAGACTTGCTAGAAGCAACCACCACACACTGATTGATGCCCAAGCACCACGCTGAAGGAAAAAAAAAAAAAGAGGGACTTAAAAAAAAAAAATAAAGAGCCCTGCAAATATTCTAAAACACGGTCTTCTTAGTTTTCTGTATGCACTGACCACATCCTTTCTTCCACCAGTAAGCTGTATAACAATAAAATATTGTCTTGCTTTTTATTATCTTTTAAAGGATCTCCTTAAAATGCTGTAACTAATCTTTTTTCTTATTTTCTTGTGACATTGGTACATTTTTAAGACTTTTGCTATGTTCTAAATTCCCTCCTGCACACACGCGCGCACACACTTATGCAAAAAGTATAACTGTCAAGAATGCAGTTGGGACTTGTGAACAATGAGTGGATATTTTCTTATTGCTTATATTTGTACCTATATTGTCTCTTTTTTTCAGGGAATTTGGGACTTTACCTATATAAGGTGCTTAAAATGTCTTAGAACAAGCACTAGCTGACACCTCTTGGAGATATCTGAAGTGTAATGGAATTTATTAAATGGCGTTTTGTAAAGTAGGGGTTAAGAACTTGTTCAGGAACCCTGCTCTCTCATACCCTATAGCTAAAGCATGAGGACTCGGAGAGCTACTAAAATGATGCGGGTTACAAAATCAGTTCTATGAGGAAAGGCTGAGGAGTCTGTATGTAATTATAGTCTTCCAGTGCCGTGTATTTATTCATTACTCATCTACAAATATTTATTGACCCCTTTTGATGTGCTAGTCACTGTTGTGGGTCCCCTGAGAGTTGCAAGTATGAGGCAGTTATGGATCATGACCCAGTGATAGGTAGAACAATAAGTCACATAAATGGCGAATAGGGTTAGCTACAGATGGCATATTTTTAAAGTTCAGAGGAAGAAGAGAATATGTTAAACAGTGCATGAGAGAGGAATACGTGGCATGGAGCTTTGCGGAGTACGTGACATAGAGCTGGGCTTTAAAAAAGAAAAATAAGAGATACCATATGATTGGTGAGATGGGTCAGCGTTATTTCTCCTGAGAGGAGAATTAGCAGAAATAGATATATCAATTAGTGTGCTTAGAGTGCAGGGTTTCTGGAAAGCCAGGGTTGGACTGAGTGGTCATCAAAGGCCAGCCCCGTGACTTACACTGCATTAAATTAATTTCTTAAAACATAGTCCCTGATCATTATCACTCTACTATTCCAAAGGTGAGAGAACAGATTCAGATACAGAGTGCCAGCATTATTCCCCAGTACTCTTGGGTTCATTCCAGGTGAACTGAACGACTGCCTTTTCTCTATCTCAAAATACTTCTTAGATATCCTAGATGCGTCCTTCAGCTTCTAACATTGTGTAGTTTAGGAGTTCTCAACCCTGGCATTATTGATATGTTAGCCAAATAATTCTTTTTCTGTGGGAGGTCTCCTGTGCATTTTAGATGACTAGCAATCACTACTAAAGACTAGTCATTTCTCATGAGCAGTGACAACAAAAATGGTTCCAGACACTGCCAGATGTCCTGTAGAGGACAAAGATCACCCCCAGTTGAGAACCACTTCTGTAAAACTTTAACACTTTTTTCGTTTGGTTTATAAAATAATGATCCTGACTTAAAATTGGCGGAACTTCAAAGCCGGTGAAATATGGTTCTTGCTTCCAAGCCCTTACACGTGTCCTACTCGTTTTCTTATGCTTCAGTGTTTTTCATCTTTCTCCTGTTACCTTGGTACCTAAGAAGGCCATCCCAGGCCCCAGATCTCTGCCTGCCCAAAGTCTAGGCATAGTCGAAGGCTGGGCTAAAATGTGTCCTTTTTTTACTGGTGCTTCCAGCGCAAGTAATACCATGAATGATCAGCTCTCTGAGAGCAGCCATCGCGTCTGTTGTTTACTGTTAAATTGGCACCAGGAAATACTTGTTGAGTGAATGAATACATTCCTGTAGCACCTTATTCTTCACACGGTATATAGGGACTGTAGCTTGGTACCTTGCGAGCAACTCTGTGTAACACACCGTATTTCTCCTAAAAATGCAAGCACGTTCAGAGCGAGGATCTTGTAACCTCTTTACTCTGGAGCACCTGCATTTAGTAGGCGTAAAGTTTTACGTACTAAGATAACGTTGCTGTTTTCTGAATACTGTACCTCAGAAGATGTCACTGCTAATTTGGAAAGTTCTGCTAAGGAACATTCGGGCACCCTCAGATGCACCTTTTAATCGATGTCATGTTTTCCTAATCCGTACTTTTTTCATGAGAATTTGAGTCACCCCAGCATTAGCTTGGAATTTCATTAATTCCCATTTTCTTTGCAGGTGCCTTGAAGTCTGGTTTTAAATACTGTCTTCCTGTTTTGTGATCTTGGGCAGTCAATCACTTTTATCTATCAAATAGAGAAAATAATCCCATCTACTAAGGTTATTGTAGGGAATAAGGATGTGTAAAGCATTTAGTCAAATGCTCAAAACAATTTTAATTTTTACTTTCACTGCCCCATTTAATTAGTTTGAAACTTTACCTTGGATTAAGGGTAAAGTTTCAGGTATGTCCCAGTAATCATGTATTTTGCCCTTTAATGTGCAGTTGGGTAGAATATGGTGGGGACAGCTCATCTCTCTTCCATGCAGCATCAACTGAGGCTGGAGGCGCCACCTCTCCGGCCAGCAAGTTGGACCTGGTTGTTCACTGAGAGCCTTGGTCCCTCCCTCGATGCACAGGTTCCTTGTTACATAGGCTTCTCCCCAAGGGTACTAGAGCATCGTCACACCATAGCAGTTATGAGAGAGAGTGGCCCCAGAGACAAAAAATAGAAGCTGTCAGATTGTTCTTCCTGGGTCTGGAAACTCAGGGCATCAGTTGTGCCATATTCAGTTGGTCTGAGAGTTAAGAGTCTGCCTAGATTCAAAGAGAGAGAAAAGAATCTGGTCATCTTTAATATGCAGCAGGACAGGGTTGGGATATTTTTCACCCCTTAAATCTGTGAAGGCATTACTTAAAATCAGGCATATATAATTGAACTATAGCTGCCGGGAGTACAAGCTCAGAAAATGTCAGTTAATAAATACAATTACTATTTTTCTGCCGTTATCCTTGTACCTAAGGGTGCCATCCTAATCCCCAGATCTCCACAACTATACCCATGTAGTTGAAGGCCAAGCTAAAATGTATTCCTCTTTTTCTGGTGCAACCAGCAAAAGTAATACCATTAATTATTGAGATCTCTGAGAGCAGGGATCATACCTGTCCCTAAATGGCGATATACTTATAAAACTGAATTTTCGCCAGCTGCCCACCCCCCAGCTCCTTATTGTCGGTAAAAAGCGAATTTGAACGGTTACCTGTCTTCACTAAAGATTGCACTTTCGTATTTGCTGTCATTGCATATCCTCCCTAATTAAGCTCTTTGTTGATACTGCAGTTTCTGTGGATTCTTACATCCTAGATGCAATCTGAGGGACGAGGAAGGACCTTTTAAAAACAAAACAGATTGCAGAGAAAGTGTAAGTCATAGGGACAGTTAATTAAAGGGGAACACGGCACTCCTGTAGATCTATTTAGATCTTAGTTGATGGTGCCAGTCTTCAACGTCAAGTCAAAAGTGGAGAGAAGTTTAGGAAAAAATGTTGGGCTTGGAATACATTGTTAAGTCTTCAGAGCACTTTACTCTGTATTAAATATATTTAGACATCCAGCAGATACTTGAATACTTACTGTATCAGGCAGTAAAGATATAAGTGCATTCTTAACATGTTCAAACTAAATACAAAAAAAAAGCATTCTTATTTTTTTGGAGACGGAGTTTCGTTCTTGTTACCCAGGTTGGAGTGCAATGGTGCGATCTCAGCTCACCGTAACCTCCGCCTCCTGGGTTCAGGCAATTCTCCTGCCTCAGCCTCCCGAGTAGCTGGGATTACAGGCACGTGCCACCATGCCCAGCTAATATTTTGTATTTTTAGTAGAGACGGGGTTTCACCATGTTGACCAGGATGGTCTCGATCTCTTGACCTCGTGATCCACCCACCTCGGCCTCCCAAAGTGCTGGGATTACAGGCTTGAGCCACCGCGCCTGGCCCCCCCCCAAAAAAAAAGCATTCTTAAACAGGTAACTTTTTTTGCCTCATGCTTTTTAATTAATGAGACATGTGAGAGTTACATTAATGGGCATGCTTATGATTGCCCAGCAGGGTCATTAGAAATAACATATTTATTCATGTGCAGAAATCTTTTGGCTGTCATGGGGAACCTTGCACACAGAAAAGAGCTTTTACTGACTTACCTTCAACACATTTGACAATTAGCTCAGTACAGTTTAATATCATTCCTGGGAGAAGATGAATCAGCCAGGCTTTTTAATGTGAAAAATTGAAGTTTCTCTAACTCAGCCAACGTAAGATGAGCTACAGAGGCAGTGAAAAGTAACCAGCTCGTTTCACACAGTGGATCCATGCTGTCCTCAGGAACTCTGCCCCTCGCCCAACGGTCCTCAACCAGACACAGGCTCCTGGCTGCAAGGACGATCTGACGGGAGTGAGTAAACGTATCGGCATAGTCCCTCCCTTCTGATGGAAAAGCAACCCAAAGAGCAAATACTGTTAAAGCTGGATCAGTATCAACTAGTCAAAAAGAGTCCACGAACTGTGAGTCAAAATTTTATTTATGGTGGCATTACATTAAGATACTAGGATTTTTGTTAGCATAATTTATTAGCTGGGAAAATGGAGAAGGTTCTCTGGACTCATTTTTATAGGTGGAACCTAAGTGATCTGGATCATTGCCCACTGGCAAAATTGCTGGGCATGGTGGACAAAGAAAATGTTCCTTCTAATGATTTTCTATGAGCTGAGTAGCTATTGTTCCCAGCTGAGTGCTCTTTTCCTCCTTTTATTGTTGCTGAGCGAAAGAATTTATAAAAAGCTCTTTCTTTTTTATTAAAAACTCTCTCAATTGAAATGCAAGTTCATTAAGTACTGTTCATTTCTCATCCTGCCGTAATAACCCTTTCCCCCTCTGTTTTATTCAGCAATGTCTAGCAGCACTGATCAAAAATTTTAAGTCTGAACAGACTATATTACATAGGTACAGAGAAATAGATAGTAAATCTTCAACATTAAGAGGGAGTTTAATTTCACGTGGTTAGAATATGATCACTCAGCCTAGATGTTGGCCATAAATTTCAAATTAGTATCTCAACTT